GTGGGTCGTCACAATATGTGTTTTTGCATATTATGCGGCAGGTGATACCCGGTGACTGCGAGAATGCTGAATTTGCAACATTATACGTGGGCAAGGGGGCGCTATCCAAAAATTACAGCTTCCTAGGTTCCGTGGTTCCCGAGGTAATAATTTCCCCGCCAAAAATTGTGCGGGGCCGCAAGTGTTGTCCACGTGCGGGGGGAGGGGGGAAGGAGGCTACATTTAAATTTGCGGGTCACGCGTGGACAAGGAACATCTTCCAAATTTTCAGCATCCTAGCTTCCGTGGTTCCCGAGTTGAGAGTTGTGGACATGGACACACACACACACACACGCATATACGCACACACACACACACGCACAAAAACACACATACACACAGACAACCCTGTGACAATGTGCATTTTGTACAGCTGTTGCACGGCACAAAACGCGTAAAAATGATGAATGCCAGATCGGTTTAGTGTTTCATATCTGACCACAGTTCCGGTTTTATAATTTTTTGCGTTTAGATTTTGAAATTCCAATTAAGACTTTTGGAAAACTCCATTAGTTTGCTTGCGTAGATTGAAGACGGAATTTAAGAGGTAGCAGTATTGTTAAACCATCATTTTACAGTTTTCGGAATCTTTAAAAGTGGTATTTGTTTAAAATTCCGTTGTACTGGGCACAAGAACTGAATGAAGCAGAATACAGAAGTTTCCAGCTCCCACTGTACTCCCAGTTCTCTTCACTTTTTATACTCAAAATTTTAAAAAAACAGCGGTGGCTGGAAAAAAGGCGACGAATTAATTGGTCAAAGGATTTAAGTTTTTGCTTTAACGTTGAAGATGGACTTCCTTTATGCAGGGACTGTCGTATGATAATGGTCTAATAACACTGCTTTGTTAACAGTATTAGAAAGACTGTCGATGGCTAAAAGTATTGTTTGCTAGCGGTATTAGAAAGATTGTCTGCTAAGAAAACGACTCGAGCTTCTTCTTTCAACCAATGCTTGAGCTGAATGCACCAGTTTCCTTCCTTTTTTCATTATCTGATTTTTTTTTACAGGGACATCAGCGTGCCCGAACGCCAAATTCCATTGCTTGAATCG